GCACCATGGTTTCGTTGTCTCATTGTGTGTGTGTGTGTGTGTGTGTGTGTGTGTGTGTGTGTGTGTGTTTAATTCTCTTAACTGGTTCTTTTGCAGGCGCTCTTTAAATTGTGGGGCTCTACAGAAATGCACCCCAAAGATGTTCTAACCTACACTGAGTTAGTGTTGGATTCCCAGGGGCAGCTGGTGGAGATGAACAGGATACCTGGAGGAAATGAGGTATGAACAAAATGAGTAGGTGGGAGACAGTGTAGAGCTGGGGAGGTATGGTATGGTATGGTAGTGGGAAAGACAGAAAACAGAAGGGAAGAGGTGTGGGGGGGAAAGAGAGAGGAGGAAACAGACGCCAAAGACAACACAGAAAAAGATTCATCGTGATCTGTTATAGGAAGGAAAAGAGAGAGAGAATGGAGTGGAGCCAGAGAGAGAGATTAGTTACAGAATAATGAAAGGAAGAGATGTAAGTTGCACTTCTGTCCAACGCATTATGTAGAGAGCTGATTGACCTGTTCCAAGTAAATATAATCCCAGTAAATGGTGCACAACAGTTTGTTCCTTTGTCTCACAGGTGTGTGGTGGCACACGTGCCTCTCAGCATGGCTGAGTCCTTAGGTGTTGGGACAATTTTTCAAGCCCTCCCTATTTCACTGGTCTTTTTTTTTTTTTTAGTTTGACTGTATCACTTTCAAGTGGAGCCCTTCCTCCTGCCTTGCAAGATGCTGTGCAGAGTTTGTTATGTGGTGCATCTTGGAGGAATGAATTGAATCGCATAAATGCTTAGGGAATCATATCTGAGCTGTGACTGACTGTGTTTCCCAGGTGTTCTAGTCACTTTATCAGAAGCCTGAACTTCTGCAAGTTGAACAGATCAACCTGAATTACATTTTAAAGTTTGGAGAATGCTGTTGGGAGTAGAACCTGACAGAGCGTAGCCTAAAACTAGTATTTACTTCCTCTCGAGAAACTTGCCCTTGTGACTTTATATCTCTTTGAGCAGGTTGGGATGGTTGCTTTCAAAATGAAGCTGAAAACCCCTGAGTATCCCAAGGGCCGAGACATCATTGTTATCAGCAACGACATCACCTACAAGATTGGCTCCTTCGGGCCCGAGGAGGATCTGCTCTTCCTGAGAGCTTCGCAGCTGGCCCGCTCGGAAGGCGTCCCCCGGATCTACATTGCAGCGAACAGCGGGGCACGGATAGGGTTTGCAGATGAGATAAAGCACATGTTCCAGGTAGCCTGGGTGGATCCCATGGATCCCTACAAGGTAGGTGCATGTGTCTCATTACAGTCGGGGGGAGGGAAAAAACCTTCTCTGCGAAAGACCCAATTTGGGAATCAGAAGGGTTGAAAGATGCAACAGCAGCCCTGAGATTAAATGGGATTTGATAACATACGGGGTTAATACACAAGTCCGATTGCAGAGCTCCACTCACGAGCAGGGCCCCCCACCCCAGTCCACGTACCCTCCATCCGCATCCTGGCTGCCACCTTTGGGCTGTGGAATCTGCCCCGCCCCTCTCTGCGGTGTCTGGTGAACCCACTAACTGGATCAGGAAACCAGAAGGTGGCACTAAAATGCCCCTTTCAAAGCAGGCCGCAGGAGAGGGGACAGCCTGAGAATTCAGTGGACTGATTGTAGAGGCTCAGTGGTGGCTGATGGTCAGTTCTATGCACGTGGTGCAGGGTTCTTTGTGCTTTGCATGGGTCTAAAGCTAGATTTATTCTTTTTGTCTCACAGTCCAGGCTAACAAATAACCCTACGGTTAAAATAACAATGGGCAAAATTTTCAAAAATCCCCAAATGACTGAAGGAGCCTAAGTTTCATTGTCCAAAAGTGAGCTAGGTGCCTAAGTTAAGGTGCTTAACTCATCATAAGCGAATGGGACATAAGGACTTAAGGATCCTAAGTAAATTCTATGCTTTGAAAATTTTACCCAGTGAATTTAAGGGTTTCTGTTTATTCTCATAGCCACTTGTGGGCATTTGCATACATTTTTGCGGTTTGGTGATGCTGTATCAATGTGTTACATGTAATATGGTGGTATATCGATATAAGAGTGAGTGTGTGTGTGTGTGTGTGTGTGTACGCACTATAAAATGAATACATTACTGTGCTCTTTATAAACTTAAATTATCAAAATACACGTACAGCTTTATTATATATAAGCTATTAGATTTTTAAACTACCAATCAGTGAAAACTGCACTACAAGCTGCTTATGCTTGTATTGGAACAGACTTTAACTTTTGCAAGTAGCAGGCGCCTGTTGGAAATAGTGTATTGAATGGCTTTACAGGCAGCTTCTTCAGCTAATTCTTTCCCGCTTTTTTGGAAGGGGTTCAAGTACCTGTACCTGACGCCACAGGATTACACGAGGATCAGCTCTGTGAACTCCGTGCACTGTGAGCATGTAGAGGAAGGAGGAGAGTCCAGGTGAGTGGGTTTTTATTCAAGTCCCTGCGTACGTCTACGCTGCGAGCTGGAGGTGTAAGTTCCCCACTGACCTCTGATCAAGCCAGCATGCTGAACCAGCCACCATGGTTCACGGAGCTAGCTGCCCCGAGCATGTACCCAGTGTCTTGGACTTGTCAGGTATGTAGATTTATCCCCATCGCATCCCTGTGAGACAGTGAAAGTATCGTCCCCTTTCGCAGATGAAGAAACTGCAGCTTGGAGAGGCAAAGGGCCTCACCCTAGGTCACACGGTGTCTCCTGTGCCTGGGTCCCAGGTCTTACCTTACACCTTGTGAAAATGAGCCCATTCTGTTGTCTTCTCTGGCTCTGTATTGTCTCTTCCGCTTCCCCACAGGTATGTCCTAACTGATATCATCGGTAAAGATGAAGGGTTCGGTGTGGAGAACCTGAGAGCATCTGGTGCCATTGCTGGGGAGTCCTCCATTGCTTATGATGAAATTGTGACCATTAGCATGGTATGGCTTTTGGAATCATTAGCTGATTTTATGAGCCATTCTCCTTCACTCTTATCCAGCACATGAGGCACCTGTGGCCTTTGCTTCTAAAGCCACACAGGATGAAACTGCTCAGGATTGGCCATGTGAAGTGGAGCCAAATATTTATGAAATCCTCATGAACCAGCTTAGCTATTGGGGTTCAGATGAAGTGTGCTAAAGCTGTGAAATGCTTAGAATTTATTTTCTGGTCTAAAATGCCAGTGGTGTACTACATTCAACAGAATATTGAGCAGAACTAGCGATTATCAGCTGGCAACCTGAAACCAGAGTGAAACAAGAAGGTTATTATATACAATACCAGAGTTCAGTCTTCATTCAGTAACTTTGATTGTGGTAATGGTGTATCATTTAGATGAAACAGACTAGCAGCAGCCGTTTTGTTACCTATCTTCCAGGTTGGTACAAAAGAATGTAGAGTTCTGTTAATTCTTCCTCATGATTATGTAGCCCTTTTTCCTCAGTAATTTTTGTCTTCCTTGTCTGCATCTCTTAGGTGACATGTCGTGCCATTGGAATTGGCGCTTACCTGGTGAGGCTAGGGCAGCGAGTGATACAGGTGGAGAATTCCCACATCATCCTCACTGGGGCTAGTGCTTTAAATAAGGTAACAAGGAGTTTAGTTCCACCCATCATTTTATTTTCCCCTGAAAATTGTCCTTTCCTGTGCTGATTTATCACTCTTCTTTGTAGCAACCAGAGACATTCGCTGTCTCCCACCTGCTAAATTCCATAATGGATACTAAGTATTTCACACAGAAAAACTCCACAGTACTCTGGATGTGATAGGTGTTTAAACCAGATGAGTTATTCATGGAATATGTGTACAAGAGATCAGTAAGGGAATTACAAGTGATTCACAGCATTTGAAGGTCTCTACAAACATTAATCCATACACCTCTCCCCTGTGTTTCCTGAGATAGAAAGGTTGAGAGATTTGTTAAGGTCACAGAGCAAGTCATTGGCAGAGCTGGCATTCAGAGTGCCTTGCTCAGTCAGCTAGTTCAGTGCGGCAGGTGTATGAACTTGTCTGCATGCAGAGTTACGCCGGCTTAATTTAAGAAGAGATTTTTTTTTAAACCCATTTAGTTAGACCAATGCAAAAGGCAGTGTGGACACTCCTACTTTACAAAACCAAAATTTAGCTTAAGTCAGTCAAGAATAAGTTTAAATTAAATTAAAATAAGCCACTTAAAATTACCGTGTCTACACACAGGTTTGCACTGGTTTTAACTAAACAGGCACAAGTTTGTGTGTGCATAAGGTCTACAGCTACTTTACTCTAGGGGTGATAATCTTTTCTATTTATAACTTTAACTAGGTCCTGGGGCGTGAGGTCTACACATCCAATAACCAGCTCGGAGGCGTGCAGATCATGCATCATAATGGTGTTTCCCATGTGACTGTCCCAGACGACTTTGAGGGCGTCTATACCATCTTACAGTGGCTTTCATATATGCCAAAGGTGAGTAGCTCCGACAGGACAGCAATGTGTTGGCTGTGACATTGTATTTAATGCAATGCCTTGTTTAAAACAAACACCCAACAGCTTTTTATGATCCATTCTATGTGCGGAAATTACTTCTGTAGTTGCTGTTTTGAAGGCATTTGTGCCACCATCTAATGCACTAGAAGCATCGTAGACAGTAATGTGAAATATTGTCCGTAAGGAAGAATAATTATACGTAAGGGAATTAGTCTGGATTAATGCTATTTCTGTAACAGCCTAAGTAGCATTTCAGTAGGGTAAAGGGTAGAGTGGGAACGAACATTGTCCAGCAGATTTTTGTAGTGCTGTTTGGTAAAACTGGGTTAGAGATTTTTCTTCTTATAGGACAATCGTAGCCCAGTGCCTGTTACTGCTACAAGTGACCCCATTGAACGAGAAATTGATTTTGTCCCTTCCAAAGCCCCCTACGATCCCAGATGGATGCTGGCAGGAAGACCACATCCAAGTAAGTAAGGGTGTTCTAACTTAGACCTTCTGCAAAAACTCCATTCTGTCTCCCCATCCTATGTGTATTTGTTGCTGTAAAATCCTCCCAGTCCTGTGTACGCAGAATTTTACTGCTGTTTGATATAATGTGCGCTGGGAGTTTATTGAACTGGTCAGCAAAATAACCTTACAATTACACGCTCTGTTTCATTGCACAGTTGTTAAGGGAACCTGGCAGAGCGGCTTCTTTGATCATGGCACTTTCATGGAGATCATGCAGCCTTGGGCACAGACAGTTGTAGTTGGCAGAGCAAGGTAACAACAAAGCGCGGCTCTTCCCTAAACCAGCTGTTAACAGTGTACACTAAGAGCCATTTCCTGCCTGGACGTGCAGAATCCCGATTCCCACTGAAGTCTGTGCTCCTGTCTGAGTGGTAAATCAGGCAGGAGTAGGCACTAAACTATCTGTATAAAAGGTAGTTGACGTTCAGCAAAGCAGTGCTTTAATTAACTTGGGGCTGTGTCATCCCCTCCTGGGGGACGGGCCTTCCTGGGAACGGGTTCTGTGGTGTCCCCCTATGTTGCTCTATTGAGCAGTGGGGAAAGCAAGCCCCCTGGACTTGCTTTGAGACCAGTTGAACTTGTCCGCTCGATAGAAGTGAAAATTCATCTCTACTTTAGAAACTGACCTGGTCCCTGGCTCTCTGCAGATTGGGAGGGATCCCCATTGGTGTGGTAGCGGTGGAGACCCGGACTGTGGAGATGGTTATACCAGCTGACCCTGCAAACCTAGATTCTGAAGCAAAGGTATGTTGGGTAACCACTGGGGGGAGAGAATGTATGTACAATGACAATGCTTTGTATCGTAAAGCTAGAAGAAAATCCTGCTCTGGATGACCCTTTTGTATGGATTTCTGGCTTCTCCATTCTTCCTCGTCTTTCAGGCTGGTGGAATCAACTACCCTGAGTCCCTTCATTGGTTTTAAACCTTCCAACTACCGTACTTTGTCGACCTACCAGCCTCATTTGCCAAGAGGGATCTAATCCGAACTGAACACTCCTGCTCGCTCTCTTTCAGATAGTCCAGCAGGCTGGGCAGGTGTGGTTCCCAGATTCAGCTTTTAAAACTGCCCAGGCTATAAGGGACTTCGACCGAGAGCGGCTCCCTCTCTTGATCTTTGCAAACTGGAGGGGATTCTCCGGTGGCATGAAAGGTGATTCGCTCTTCGCTGAACAGGAGTCAGGGAGGAGAACTGGGTTGTGATCCCACGTGGCCCTCCGTGGAGTATGGGGATCCCTAGCAAGCTCAGCATGTCCCTTTATTACTGCTATTTCTAGGGGTGCTGTTTCCCCGAGAGCATGCTGACTGTGTGATGCTGTTCTGAGATTCGCCTCTTGCATAGCTCCCCTGCACGGCTGCTGCTGCAGGGGCTGATGGCTGGGGGACGGGAGGGCTGCATTAGTGTCACATTGCAGGTTGGGGTGTCTTTTGTTTGGTTTATTTTTTTACTGTGGAGGCAGCCTTCTCAGTCTCTGTTGGGGAGGGAAGTGCTTTGGGTTGCTTAAGTAAGAAATCTAGCAGGTTTTATAGAGTCAAACTGCTGGGCATCCTCAGCTGGGATGGCTGCAGGGTGGCACCTGGAAGAGACAGGCACTTTAGAGTAGAGGTAAGTGCAGGGGTCCAGAGAAGGGAAAGGGAGTGATGTATTAAACCTGGCGCTTCTCCCTGGCATGTGTCACCCAACCCACAGCTTGTCTCTGTAGCGCCACAGAGCAGGAGGCATTACCAGAAATGATTGATAACATAAAGGTCTTGGTTTTCAGACATGTACGATCAGGTGCTGAAGTTCGGTGCGTACATTGTCGATAGCCTCAGGCAGTTTAAACAGCCTGTTCTTGTCTACATCCCCCCACATGCTGAGCTAAGAGGAGGGTCCTGGGTAGTAATTGATCCAACAATCAACCCGGTGTACATGGAGCTTTATGCAGACAAGGAGAGCAGGTAGGTAACATCTTTCTCAGGGTTTTTTTGGAGTCTCCTGTTCTGGTACTTTCCTTGTAACTCTCTACTGTTCTAGGCATTTTTCCATAGCCTTTGGCTTAAGTTTCTAGTCAGTCTCTCCATATTTTTTTAAGGGTTGGACAAGGATGATGAGCCCAAAACAGTCAGAGCCATCTAGATTGCTTAGTAAACAGGGATCATGCAAACAACATGTATTTTAATACAGCTGAGCTAAATGTGAATGTACACATCTAGGAACAAAGAATGTAGCTCCTACTTACAGGATGGGGCACTCGATCCTGGGAAGCAGTGACTGAAAAAATGTGGGGGTTGTGGTAGATAATCAAATGAACATGAGCTTCTAGTGCAATGCTGTGGCCAAGAGGGCTAATGTGATCATGGGATGCATAAACGGGAATCTTGAGAAGGAGCAGAGAGGTTATTTGACCTCTGTATTTGGCACTGGTGTGACCACGGTTGGAATCCTGTGTCCAGTTCTGGAGTCCACACTTCAAGAAGGATGTTGATAAACTGGAGAGGATTCTAAGACCAACAATAATGATTAAAGGATTAGAAAACATGCCGTAGAGTGATAGGAGCTCAATCTATTCAGCTTAACAAAGAGAAGGTTAAGGGCTGGCATGATCACAGACTATAAGTACCACATGGGGAACAGATATTTAATAATGGGCTCTTCCATTAGCAGAGAAAGGTATAACATGATCCAATGGCTGGAAGTTGAAGTTAGACAGATTCAGGCTGGAAATAAGGGGTACATTTTTAACAGTGAGGGTAATTAACCATTGGTACAGTTTTACCAAGGGTCATGGTGGATTCTCCAATCCTGACTATTTTTAAATCATCACCAGGTGTTTTTCTAAAAGCTCTGCTTTAGGAATTATTTGGGGGAAGGTCTCTGGCCCATGCTACGCAGGAAGTCAGACTAGATGATTGCAATGGTCCCTCCTGGCCTTGGAATCTGTGAGTCTATGAAAATGTGACCTTCCCTTTCCTGTGCTTGTAAAGTGTGTGTATTCTCCATGCCACATGCCTGGGAGCCTTTGAATGGTGTTCTCTTCACTGATAAATCCTTCCCAATAGCCCACAGGTGTGGAAGAGAAAACTAAACTACACTTGGGAAAAGACAAATTTCTGCTTTAGGCAGTGTAGCTGTAGCCATGACGGTCCCAGGATATTAGAGAGACAAGGTGTTTATTGGACCAACTGAACCAGCCTTGAAGAAGAGCTCGGTGTGGCTCAAAAGCTTGTCTCTCTCACCAATAGAAGATATCACCTCACCCACATTTCTGCCTGACTTTCAAGCAGGGCAGTCATCGTGAATGCAATTATTGCGAAAAATCTGAACAATACCTAACCAGTGTCCTGTTTAAAGTTATACAACTACAACTCTATAACTGGTGATCTGCTGAGATCTTTCAAGTACTAGGAGAGAACCTGCATTATTAGTAGAAATAATACATACAGAACACCCAAAAATGTGAGGCACGTTGCAGGGGAAATACAAACCCATTATGTGATCCCTTTATGAGTTCATAGACTCATTTGCAGCGGTCTCATTATGAGATTTGTTAACCTGCCAAACTCATGAGCCAACAGCTAAAAATTGTTGGGCTCTCACAGCACAATTTGCTGGATATTCTACATAACTGGTCTTCCAACAATATACATTGCTGGGCTAAATAAACTTCTTATTTTTAATGGCCCTCCTTTTATCTTCGTGAGTACTTGGTGATAACTATTGAACATGGGGGCAAATAGTAGAAAATGCTAGAAAGAGAAAGCTGCAGAAATCTCAGATTTGGGAAGGGAAACCCTTGCAGCGTCCCTGCTCTTAATCCTCAAATTTAAACACCCTCTGTACTGTAACAATAAGAACAAAATTTCTGCTGAAAATAATATAAAACTGGAAAGTCTTCCCAGAATGTATTTTCCCCATACAGACCTCTCCACTGTACCAAACTTGGCATCACAAAACCTCCGTCCTTTCTAGGGGAGGCATTTTAGAAGCTGAAGGAACAGTGGAAATTAAATTCAGGAGGAAGGATTTGATAAAGACCATGAGAAGAATTGATTCAGTCTATGCCAGACTTGTTGAACAGCTGGGTAAGAAGAGAATTTGTTTCCCCCTTTCCCTTTTGTTCCAGTTTACGTTGCTAGCTTAAAGCATGAGGCATGAACTCTGGAGATGGGTAAATAATGGTGCTGCAGTGACCATCTGGGAAATCCTGTTTAGGTGCCAGTGGAGGTTTCTTTTAACAGTGAATCCGGGACAGTGCCTGACCTGATTGGGGCCACTCCGTACTATTTGAATATAAATTAATAATAATCTAAGGGGTTGTGATGTCCATAGTGCCTTGTCTATCTGTTCTTCACACCATTCACACGCGCCCTCGGAGAACAATCGTCAGCTCTACAAATGTTATTTCTTCTAAGTTACTTTTTGTTTCGAAGACCTTAAGAAACTATAAAGATGCTGTATGTAAAACACAAGCACTCACACAGTCTGTTTAGGCATAGCTTTAGCTTGGAAACTCCTTGGGACAGAGACAGTGCCTTATTTTTCTATAGAGTGCCATGCACATTTGTGTCAGTGTATAAACTACAAACTCCCATTTAAGGTCACTAGTACAATAGTTAAGTCCATGGGTTTTCGTTTTTTGTTTGTTTGTTTAAAGGAGAATTTTTAACCCTTGGTTGTTCCTAGTTTAAAATTTGCTGCTCTCTTACAGCCTGGCTTGCAGGTAACTGAACTCAAATCCAGACTGACAGCTGCTTTGTTTCCTGGAATAACAGGCACCCCAGAACTCCTAGAAGAGGATCACAGAGAGCTGGAGAAGCAGCTGAAAGCTCGGGAAGAGCTCCTGTTACCCATCTTCCACCAGGTGGCAGTGCAGTTTGCTGACCTTCACGACACGCCAGGAAGAATGCACGAGAAGGGTGTTATTGCAGTTAAGCGACAGCGCTTTGCTTTCAGCTTTTATTGTGCTGATATTGGGGAAATGTAACAACCCCAATGATTCGCTGTTAGAAAATATGGTCAAGGCATTTTAAAGAAAAAAATCTCATTACTGTAGAGGGCAGTGCCAGGGCTGATGTGGGTGAGACCCTGTCCTGTCACGGATGGGCAGGAGCATGGAAGTAGATTGCTGCTGCGTGATATGACCGCACCAATGCTTCTGACTTGGTATTTCTGAGGCCCCAGTCTCCGCAACTCCTAATGTAGGGGTGAACCCCGCAGCACCCACTTAGAACCCCATTGGCTCCAGTGTCGGGCTCCGTTAGAGCGCTGTGCTGTGCAGAAAGGAATTCTGATCGGAGTTGCATTGTGCTGCTGGAGAGAGTCTTGCTGTCCCTGCAGAGTTTGAACAGCAGAGGTTATACCTCTGATTCCGATGCTACTTTTCAGAAGGGCAGCATGTCTGTAAGCAGGGGGAAGTCACAATGGGGAATCTCTCTGGAGATGCAGATTGCAAGGATACACCCTGCCCCTCCCAAATATTTTGTCCAGACAAATAGAGTGTACCAGTATCTTGAACTTCATCTCTGCCATCCCCAAAGCATTTCCTGTACAAGCCTGAATTTTGAACTCTCTTCCCTCCGTCACCCCAGGATATCCTTGAGTGGAAGAACGCCCGTACATTCTTATATTGGCGTCTGCGGCGCCTCCTTTTGGAGGAGGTGGTGAAAACGGAGATTCTGAATGCGGACAGTGAGCTCAGCAACATTCACATCCAGTCCATGCTGCGCCGCTGGTTCATGGAGACGGAAGGAGCTGTGAAGGTATCTCTTCATCTTGGCTATTTCAGGTTCTCATGTTACTGATTTGCAGTCTGTTTTCTCAGTGTCTCCCGTACTGTCCAATGACAGCCTGCCATGCTTCCCTACACAAGCACATGCTCAGTTGACTTCCTGAGTTTGGCTGAAACGTGATCAGAGTTACTGTTCCATGGCTTGAGTGTAACGTTCCTGCCATGGTGAATGGCCACTGAAATCCAAGTACGGTTCTTCAGATCAGGTGACCTACACTGGATGCAAGTGATCATCAAACTTAAACAAAATGGCGCAAAAAAAGAAGTCCTATGGTTGATCTCTTTATCTTGAAGCAGCGTCTCTCAGTGGAAAAAGAAGAGATTGCATGCCGGTGCTTTCAAGCTTCTTTGTTGTATTTCTTTTTATTTATCTTTAAATAAAAATTCTCTAAGTCATGACTTATGAACTTTAAGTTAATTGACAATCGTGGCTGTTACTACCCTGTAAGTCTGATTTCTGTCCCTTGTAAAATAATAGAACCAATACTAAGAGAAATAGAACCACTAACCATCTAGGGAAAGACAGAACTCTAAGCAGTAAACTACATGAGTTTCAGAATAAGTTTCACTAAACAAACCGAAGTGCTTGATGAAATGATGGAATTAGTAGGTGAAGGGAACGTGAGATATATTCGATATAAGATTCAAGGATATTCAGTTTTGAGTAAAGCAGTTGATTACAACCTCGTGAAGTTTTACTCCACCAATTGACTTTGCTTGGCCTTAGCTATGAACACTGTCATGCGGAGTTGAGGGAGGGGTCTAGTGATGTACTTTTGGGATCTGTGTTTAGCTCAGGTTTTATTTGACATCTTTCTTAATGATCAGGAAGAGGGAATGTGGAGCATGAAATACACTGAGAAGAGAGGAGTTGCAAATACCAGTAAGGATGGGAGGTGAGGGGGTTACAGAACCATCGAAAGAGAATAGGAAAAGTGGGAAAATAAATTAATAAAAAACCAAGAATCAACTGAAAAACTGCAAACCAATACATCGGGGGGGGGAACTAGCCCAGATGTCTGGAGGGGGATATTAAATGGGAGGAAGAAACCTGACAGAACAGTAATGCTGGGGGACGAGGCAGAGAGAGGGAAAGTGAGACGGAAATCTTTGGGAGAGGGAGTAGAATTATGCAAATGAAGCATTGCATATTCACCTGCTATGCAAATTAAGGCATCACATTGTTTGCGTAACTGCTTCAGCTTTCAGGACCTGTGCGGGCCTTAAAAGATATGTGAGGGTAAGATCTGTTGGTACGAGGAATAGTGTCCCAAGGAAGGCTGTATGTCCTGGGATAGTCTAAAACTGGATTTGACAGTACAATCAGGAGTAACCCTGCACTGGAAAGAAGATGGATTGGATAACTTTGTAGGACCCACCTCTCTCCCAGGAGTATGCGAAGATGCTCTTGTTGTTTTCTCTAGGGCTATCTCTGGGACAATAACCAGGCGGTGGTGGAATGGCTGGAGAAACACTTGCAAGAAGAGGAGGGTTCCCGATCAGCCATTCGAGAAAACATCAGATATCTGAAACGGGATTATGCCCTCAGACATATCCGGACGTGAGTACATGGAGTGCTCTGGCCTCTTACTGGAGGAAGTTGCGTGTTGCTCAGTTAAAAGTAACTGAGTAGTACGTTTAATACTCCTGGGTATAAATGGCCACAATAGATGATTTCACCACAGTTTGGGTATAGTGTGTAGGAGGCACTGGATGGTTCTTGCTTAGATTATAAGAGCTTTAGAGCAGAAGCTGTCTTTCTGTGTGTCATGTACAATGCCCAGCTCTCTGCCAGTAATTCAATGATGCCACCCTTCTCCTTCCCTTCTTGTGTCCACTGTAGCTTGGTTCAAGCAAACCCAGAGGTGGCCCTGGACTGCATGATTCACATGACTCAGCACATCACCCGTGCACAGAGGACCCAGATCGCTCGTCTCTTATCTACCCTGGATAACCCGCCCCCTTCTTGACAGAGAGGCCGCAGGTGGGGGTGCCAGGAACAATCACTATAGACAAGGAAGCGCACAGAGAGAAACCACTCCTTTTGAGACCAGATGTCTTCTTGCCTGCGTGTATTCGACCCTAGCGTTGAAGCCTTAGACTCTACTGATGTCTCTCAATAAATGATGCCATTGTTGCATTTTCAACCATAAAAATAGCCTTTCTGTGAACACCGTGTTCATCCTGGATTTGTGGGGACAATTAAAAAAACAAATCCATTACAGTGGCATTTTTGTGGGATTTAAATTCAACCCAAATTGACCTCAGGAGCCTTGTCTTCAGAACAAAGCCGGTAGGGATGGGCCCCGTGGTCATTTTATAACTGAATTTAAAATTGTTTATTTTTTTATTGTAAACCCAGTAAAAAGTTGAGATACATTTCATTAGAATGAATGGAGCTGGGAGTAGAAATCAAACTCTGTATAATAGCCGGAAAGAGAAATATTTTTGTACTAATGTTTGTTGTTGCCAAACATCTGCCAGCATAATAAGAAAATGTTGTTATTTTTAATGAACAAGAGAAAACTGTGTTTTGGAAAAACATTCACACTAACCACTAGAAAACCACTGGAGAGCCTCTTCATTCCCCTGCTATGACAGTGTTCAGTAGAGGTGATTATGAAATAATTCTTGGAGCATGGTCAGGGATTCCAGGGAAGGTTTCGACAGAGCCATACATTTCAACCTGTCCTTCGTTTTATTTGTGGTCAGGACACCAAGTTTGCAGCTGTTAACACAGTTGTCAGTGCAGGATTTGTTAAACAGTCCCAGTTCTAACAAGGGAATGAAAAGGGGCAGTTGAATTTTCCATCTCTTCTTTAATTGGTGTCCCCTTCCATTTCATATTGGAATTCCTTGGAATTATTCCAGTGTCTGCACCTGCTTCCCCACCCACCCACGTACACTCTATTTGGAGTGGGGCGGGAAAGCACATGTGGACCTGATCTTGTCAGTGGTTAACCTGACCTCATGAATTAAGGTAACATATCACACACTTCAAACTACTTAGTTTAGTAAAAGTAATGATTTAGATCTTACTGTGCCTTGTTCTATTGTGGTAGCATGGCGGGTAACAAATCCATTTGCCTAATGTAACTGCATAATAGTGGTGATCCACCCTTTTGCCATTTTAAAAATAAATCCTCAGGTCACATATATCCTTTGACTGTCCTGGGTTGCATAACCTCATGACAATACATGTACCATGTCTCACTGTAACCTTTAATCATAAGAATAAGATATGGCTTTACGGCTCTTAGATATGGCCTTATGGGAATAGAATTGGTTACCTGGTTTAAATACAGTGTTAAAGCCATTGTTTGGCAATGTTACAGATCCTGTCAGTTGATTTTAAACCAAATAATGACAAAACCAAAGAGACACACAGGACAGCTGTGCACACAGTGGGCTAGAGAATGTGATGAAACAACTTACTACATGCAATGCCAGTGGTGAGGTTTTTCCAAAAAGAATGTATTGTGTATTTTATTGAGAGGAGGGCAGCAGGAGAGACTTTAAAAGTTCCCTGATTTGAAAGGTGTTACACCTGAACGAGTTTTGTCAGAGAGAGAGAGGAGGGTGTGTTGTTAACAAAACTCACTGTATGGAAGGAGAATTGGGAAATCCAGCCCATCTGCTCCAAATAAAATGATGACATTTTTCAGGGAAGATTCTGACTTCTGTTTCTTTGCCTTTATACTAAATGCAGAGGTTCTATGACCTGTATCCTCTCATTGCATTAAATGCGCAGAGCAGAAACGCCTGCCAGCAAGTGACATGGAGCTCGCTTTCCTGGAGCAATGTGTTCATACACAAGCCCCTGCTCTGCCACGAGTGAGCTGTGCCACGTTGGTTAGCTTTACGGTTTCCAGCGCCTGCTGTTACAGTGTGGAAATGCCCGGTTGTGGTTCTTTCTAACCCGGTTGTGTTAGAGTGGGGTGGGGAAGCAAGGATGCTACTGCCAAGTTGCCTCAGTCATGTATCGGTGTGTGTGTGTCTTTTCCCCCTTTTCTACCTGGGTGGATTGGGGATTTTGCAGGAACTTCATTTGATGATGCATGGCCTGGGGCCTGCACTGCAACACTTGTTTTTGATCGGAAAAAGGGCATTCTGGGATAGCTTGGGTGGGGGTAGACCATAGAGTAAATGATTCTTTTAGATTACTCTGTACGTAACCTATGAGAACGAAGACTTCTGCTATTAAACTAGCTATAGTTCCAGTAATCTTACAAAATAAAATCTCTTAAAACATGAATATTTGCAAACCCCGTGCATGATGGAACGCCCTCCACTGCACCAAATTTAGGGATGAACTCTGTTCCATCACCACCAATGCAATGTCAAAGCCTATTTAAAACCAGTGAAAGCCAATAGCACATGTTACTGTGCACACTGGGGGATACTTTATTGTGGCTGCTTGGCGAGTTACCCTCAGCAACCCTCTGTCTCTTAATGAAAACTGAATACGATTTATATGAAATACTGTATGTCTGGGATTTTCAAAGATGTTTAAAGGAGTTGGATGCCCATCTCGCACTGAAAAATGGAAGTTTAGCTCCATTGTATTTTCCCTGTAACTAACATTGGACTGGTGTTCAGTACAGAGCTGCTGAGTTGTGTAGCTGGTACTTGTACAGGCTTAGCGCTTGGGATGCGATCAATGTTTCAAGCGTCAGCCTGAACTTAATGGCTTTCCTTGGCTTAGTTGTCAGCTTCTGAACATTTGTTTAAATGTAACTCTCAGTGTAGGGGAAGCATGTGTAATTGAGGCAGAATTATGAAACCTGGTGTATGCTCGTTTGCAGCATTCATTTAGGGCTAAACCCTGCAGTCCTTACTCAGGTTAAACTCTCTTTGATTTCAGTGCCTGGAGAGCAAGAGGCCTAACTATAGCACCGGCACTAGATAGTAGGAGTAGGTTTGAAAAGACTTGTAGGGAAATATAGGGTGCATAGGCCCTTTATTGGATAGAAAACTTGCTGCTGTTAAAACTGCTGCAGAAAACACCAGAGTGACATTCAGCTAGTTTCCTCTGATGAACCATCTGGAGAAAGGACTACATGGTGACCAGACCTTGGGTAAGTAACATGGCAACAGTGGTCTGTGTGATGCTCTGTAGCAATTAAACATACACACTATTTTCCCTCATCCCATGCCCCGATCCAAAACTTTCCTTGTCACTTACTAACCCTGGGGCACCTATTAGATACAGCATCTGATTTGCAGAGAAGTTCTGATGTCCCCTATCTCTTCCAGGTGGATTGGCTGAGGCACAGGGAGGTGAAGAGGTAGCTGAGGTTGGAGCCTGAATGGCCTTTCAGGAATGTGAACCCAGTTCCATCGTGGTCTCCGGAGCCATTTTGCGGGAATGTCGGGCAGCCAGTGACACTTGAGGAGGGGAATGAGGCAGTGACTTTCACACAGGCCCCCGAAGAGTGGTCCAGAGGTGGTAACGTTCAGCCCCTTCCAACTTAACCTGATTTCAACAGCTCATCTTTTTAAGATCTGTTTTCATACACAATGCATTGCGGGACTTCTTTTGTGAGAAGAGGAACTACACAAACATCAGTGGCTGCAGGTGAGTTTAGATGCAAAGATTCTCCACAGCAAGTGGGTTGTGGAGGAAAGTACATGATACGCCTTTTAAAAGTGTTATTCTCAAGGGAGGTTTGAACTGAGGGTAAGGGTGGGGAGGAGGAAAAAGCAACATATTTACATCTATTTCTATTTCAGGAAAATTCTAAATAGGTTCAAAAGTTCGCCTGTTTTGTAACCCTCCCATCTGAAGAGAGCAAGCGACTAGGAGCCAGGACTCCTGGACTCTATTCCTGGCTCTGCAAAAATGGCTGGCTGAATGACCTAGAACGAGCCGCTCCGCTCTCTGTGCCCCTCTCTTCCGAGCTGTAAAATGGGAGTGATTCCAATGGCTGTCATGGTGGGTTTCAAGGCGTAGTATTATGTTTGACGTTTGATGAAAGGTACTGTATAGAAGTAAACTGTTTTAATTTGTGTGGATAGTAGAAATGAGGGACACGACTGTTTTCCTATAGTGGTGGGCTCTTTAGATAAAGTACAGTCTCATGTTCAAGAGAGGTTTCTAGTCATTTGCAGCAAACTTAGACAGTATATCAAGGATCAACGTTTTCTGTGCTTACTGCATTATTAAATCAGATAAAAACCATTTTCCACCAGGTAATATTCAGATAGCAATTTCCAGGCCGTTGCTTTTTAACACTTAGCTGCAAAGTGCCCTTTGAACGTGGCTTTATGTACACCAGACTAATTTTAACACAGTCCATCTAGAATAACCCAGGGTTAGAACTAAGAAATATTTATTAAAAAATTAAAACATCTTAAATGATACCACTTACATCAAATGATCAATGTCCACATTATTGTGTTTTCTAAACGGGACTTGATTTAAACAATAAATTATGACATGGAGCATCATGCCACTTTAGAAGAGGTTATTACTTATGTGCATATTTGAAAAGATATATACGCATAAGACATTATCACATCTCATTTTCACAATGTTGATTTTCAACAAGAAAGTACCACTGGACATTGCAGTGGGATAAGATCCTGCATTCTTCATCTACCCAGAGTATCAGTATATAGAATTTAGCAAAGGCTGACTGTTTTATTTTTTTTCTTGTTTAAATCTGTGTAATGAAAAATTAGTGGGGCCTTTTTCTGCTTCAAAACATTCTTAGCCATAATTTAGTGTAGGGAAGAGTTTCGTCTGAATCTAAGTCGGTACAATGTTGGTACAATTATAAGGAAGTGTAAAATTGTTATCGAGGCACAGTGATAAGCAAAACAAAAAATAATAATAAATATTACTTCAATGTCACAGAGGTACAAAAACCTAAACACTACATTTAAGTGTAATTCTTACAATTTGCTTTACATCACTCGTCATTTGAACTGTTTCTTCAAATCCAATTTTAAAATGTTACCAAATACATATTAGTTTTCAAAAGTTTACAAAAAAATGCATGGTAAGAATCAATTTTGCTTAGATTAATTAGGAAAAAAGACAATTATGAATTGGTACTGTACAGTAAAAAAAATATTTGGTCTGACTTTTTTTTAAAGGTGTTTCACAGTATCAAAAGTGCTTGTTTAAATTCAGCTTTCAAAATGAAACCGAAGTACTACAAAAGTGATTTAAAATAAGGTGTTGCATTTGTGATTATGAATAATTTAGTTCATGCAAATAAAGAGTTACTGCATTTAAAAAAAAATTGAACAGTGCTCAGTTTACATAATTTCTTTTCTCTTCAGAACAATAAATATAAATAAATTTACAAATAGTAATACTGCCTAGCACAAGACTCAACAGAAGCACAATACACAGGAACTATTGTAACAAACCTAATCATTTTTTTTTTAAGTCTAAGATAAATGTGTCATTCCTAAAATTCCACTCCAGTGATCAGTTTAATAATTCAGCCCTACGACCTCCTTCATGTGGTCAGCCCCCCACCCTCCTTTTTTATTAAGCCCTAGGTAAAAAAAATTGTGGGTTTGATTTAAAAAATTTCTGCTTGAAGCCTCCTCTCCTCCCCCCCCCTCCCCCCTGAGAATACATTTAAAGACAGTTGCATCAGAAAGGTGTTGGCACTGCAAGCGTTTCCAGGAACGGCATGTGATCTCTGTTTGGCTGCGGTTATTTGGCTCTTTGGAAAAAAAAGAAACAAATACATAAGGTCAGGTGGTTCTTGGAATCTCTGACTCGGCCCGCTGGAGCAGTGAGCTGGTGCATGGGCTCCTGTGTATGTTGTGGTCAGACGGAAACTGCATGTCAGTTCTGCACTCGACGTTAGTTCTGAGGGTTGGATTACGTTGAAACATAATGTGACTCGTGTGTGAATTGTCCTAGTAAAGTTTTTCCTAACTGATGCACTCCATGCTCCGTTTTGTCAGCTCCCCGTTCTCGTATCACAACAGCCAAAATCCTTTTTGATCTCAGTGAAGATGACGAGGGAGGTGTGTTCGCAAACCCCGTGCTAGTACTGGCTTGATACATTTTGGCATCACACAGAGTTCTGGTAAATACCTTGCGTGATGCAGGGGTCTGCAGAAGGAGCTGCTTTCCAGCTTTCAGATCCTATCCTAAGGCCTCCCAGGGAATAGGCCTGTGACGAGTTACTTCGGTCCTCGCATGTGTGAATCTTAAAGCAGAGCAATGGGCTTGTTGCCTTGACCATTCATGTACTGTGACGAGGCTACGTTATCCAGCGTGGCGTAAGTAGTGTAGAGGCCTGTGACCTGTAAGTCTGAGAAGGAATAATCACTACCACTCGAGACGGGGGTGAGGCCAGCCGTGCCCAGGTCACAGTCTGAGAGCTGGAGAGGGGAGTTGCTGAAGGCACCGAAGGTATCTAGATTGAAGCTGTCGTCTTTCATGTCTTCCCATATATTTCCTTTAAAAGAGGATAAATTCAGTCCTGTTACAGGTTTGACCTGCCATGGGCTGGGTTCAAGGTATACAATGGTCTTAAGAGTAACTGTTTAACTATCTTAACTGAAAGGTTTTAATTTCTACTCAGTCATAGGATGATGCTTGTGAGCGACTAAGTTTTTGGTTTTGTGGTACAAAGGCCTTCAGAATAGCAGGAATAATATGGGTTCAGCTGGTCAGTCCACAGCTAACTTTCCTG